CTAGCAACTTCAACATAGCAACTTCAACAATAAAGATCATTCCAGAAGTTTCTATCTAAATATAATGCATGAGTTTTCTACAACAGTTAAGAACCTTCTAGAACATACATGTAGTTTATGTTCTAAAAATAGAACAATGATAATATTGGAAATACCAACTGGTCAGATATAAATTATATACATGTAATATGTTGCATACATAACAATGTTCATTAAAATTCGCCTTTTGACTGGTTTTTCTGAACAATAATTCCTGAGATTTGAGCATTTCTGCTATTTCTTCATTTACAGACCTGGTTTGGGTTTCTAATTTTTCAATTTGATCTTTCAAAGCATTATTTTTAAATTCAAGATATTAATTTTTTTTAATGAACTTGTGTGATTTTTCATCAAATGTTGATTCTATTGACTCAGTCATCTGGTTTTTTTCCATTTTGTTCATAATGTTTGTTACTGTTTCTTGTGATTAAAGTTTCAAATGTCATTTTTTGTCAGCATACTTTTGAGCTCACCCCTTAGTTGTTCCATATAGACGCCCTAATTGTTGATGTATTACTAGTATACCTAATACTTCTCTACTACTCTCACTAACAACTTAATGGCTCCTTGCTTTTTTCACTCTAGCTGTTTCTTTAACTGTTTATTTGGTTAACATCTGTTAAGTAAACAAAGATGCTTAACCAGTTTTTAACAGTTACAGTTATATAACTGTTACTGAATTGTATCTAGGTAAACCTCTCAACGGGTCTTCTCAAAGTTTGTAATCGATTTCATCATAGACACAAGATTCAAAATTATCAATAAATCCAAGTTTGAAAAATCCAATTTCTCTTCACTATCTATGATTATGTCTTAAATGTTGAACGATCAGAATATAACCAGCAAACCAGCAAAATTACAGTAAACTCCGCTTATAACAAACTCATTGGGACATTCAAAATATATTCCTCATAACCGGAGTTCCTTGTAAGCATATAGCGAATTAGTTCCTTGTATCAGAAGTTTTTATAGCGAAAAGATTTACATATAACGAACTTATCATTGTCCTCCATTTTGAAAATCATTTGACTAAGAAAAAATAGTAGTTTATTCTTTTTAGACACAATACCCGAGAGCGTACTTTTTGGAATTTGAAAATCCTTTGCTATTTCAGTTTTAGCTTGACTCCTTTTCTCAATTCCTAATAAAATATCATATTTTCTTTCTAAACTTAGTGCCTTTTGTTTTCTTTCAATGATTAAGAATTAACGAAATTTTCGATTTTTTTTCCTTTTATATGTAAAATCTTCTATGACTTTTACTTATGAAAGATATAGATTTCTTTTCATTTCAATCAAGGGTACTTTGTAGTTTTCAATGGATTAGCATGCATGTGTGATTATGTTGATAACTGATTATTAATGACATGACCATAATTATTTTACTCGAGAACAACTATTAAAGAAAGGAAATAGAATAATAAAAAGAATAATCGTTTTAAAAGAAAAGAGTTTTAATCTGTGCCGTTGAAAATGCAAGATCTATATACGGATAGCTGATATTTTGGAGTTCGTTATAAAAGTGTAATTTTCTATACTTTTAACTAAATTGGGACTAAGAAATAAGTTCCTTATAAGCGATAATTCCTTATAACCGTGTTAGCTATAACAGTAAACTTTTATATTTAATAAAGAAGGGCAAAATTCGGGCCAAAATAAATTGTTCCTTATAACCGAAAGTTCGCTATAACCGTGTTCGCTATAAGTGAAGTTTACTGTATACTTATTTTACACAATAAATGTGCAGGTAATTTATCTTTAACATAACACAATATATTTGTTTATGTTTGCGGTGACCGCATATATGTTAAAATAAATAATTAACTTTCCATAAAACGTGTCACATAATATCGCGGTAATACACTATCCTTTGGATTAATAACGAAATCCGTAAATCATTCAGAAAACTTCATCAAAATCTGGAAACAAAGTGATCCCTTGGAAGCATTAATCACAACAAGATTATATGAAAATTGCAGACCCGGTTTGATTGAGTCTGAAGATGAGGGATAACGAATAAGTGCAACATCCCTCACGCCCGTAGCAACGACTCGAGCGGTTCTCAATTCTCAATACTTAATACTGCTGGCATCAATGATCACGAAGGACTAGGAAAAAAGAACAACACTAAAGTGAACTACTGGCAATATTTTACAGATGCCACACGGCATTTGTTACCGCTGTTGTTAAGTATAAAAATCCGGAAACAAAGTGATCCCCCCTGAAGCATTAATCATAACAAAATTACAAGAAAATTGCAGACTCGGTTTGATTGAGCCTGTATATGAGGGATAATGAATATGTGCAACATTCGTCACGTCCCTCCCGTCTTGATCGGTACTCTTCACAACACTAAATATTGCTTGCATTATTGATCCCGAAAGCCAATCTTTTGGAATTGAATGTTTCAGTTACCATATTATAACAGTATGTCAAGTTTAAAGAACGTTAACGTTATGTTTATATAACTCGTATGCCAAAATGCATAAATTTATATTCAAGCCGTGCCATACCTCTTTTAATTTGTCAGAAAATCGGCACAGATACGTGAAAACATGTGATCACGTGATATATGTTAATGTCCAGAACATGTGATCTTTTGCTTGGTAAAAATTTTGTTTCATCACAAAAGTTATAGTCACTTTGTTTCGGTAAATAATCTTTACGTGGTTCATATATCAGAATCATGACTCTTAGTTTCCGCCGCGGCTCGTTTCGTCTTGTCAAATGCATTATCCTTGAAAGAAATATAACTATATATTGATGAAGCTAATTATAGGTGCGTACTTAACAGCACATTTCAACTGGAACCGTGCATCAGTAAATAAGAAAGATTCTCAAAATCGATATCGTTTACACAAAGCAATACTTCAGCATATTAAAATGAAATAGCTGGTTGACACTTTACTATTTTATGATGAAGGCCGATGACCTGCCAAATAAATTTTCAGTGGTAGAAAATTGGAAGCGGATTCGGATATCTATTCGTGTAATAAATATAATCACCAAATAAACGTTTCCCTATGGTCAAGTAAGAAGAAGGAGACTGTGCTCAATTGAAAAGTGCGTTATATGTTAAGGTTAACTCTTAAAATTGGCAATTATGCTTTTCGCCCCATCACACTGCGTTGCAATCCGAACCATCGCCGTCTGCGTTGTATCTTTTTTGTCTTTTTTTTATAATTAGGCAATAACAATTTCCAAAATTTCCAAAATATGATTGTTTTTTGCAAGTAAGATTCATGCAACGCAATATCGGTGTAGTGAAAGGGTCGTTTGTTCGGCACATTTGAAAAGGTTTATAACAAAAAAATGGCAAAATTGTACAGAAGTATTTGCATGACTGGCAATGAATTACATCATATGCAAGTAAGATGGAAAGGTACATGATATGCAGGAATAATTATGTGAACTCCTGTCTCACTAGTTGCTTCCTTTAAAACACAAAATAAGTTCAGTTATAAACTTACCAACAATAGCAAAAGATTACTAGACGCTCATTTATTCAACTGCTTCTGCGACAAATACTCAATCGGCGCTGCGATGGATCCACCTCTTCTGCGAAAGCTATGGCAAGTGTGACTACAATTATCAAACGCTCAGAGTAATTTTGAAAAAGCAAGTCAGTGTGATTTTCTTTCAGCATGTTTTAAAAAATTAAATGATTTCGTGATAAGTAAAAAAAAGAATAATTCCTTGATTAGAAAATATTAACTCCTCAATTTTATGAATAGAGGAACTTCTTAATTCCTCTTCAATGCAGCCGCCACACTGTCCCGAAATTGACACCAGATGGGTATACGAATATCGAAATTTGAATTTCGAGCAAAGATTGCCACGAAATTGCTCGACAGCCATACACAGCCGAAGCAAGTACGATTCCTACACAAGGTCAAACGATGGCATCCGTTCCACACACGAATTTACCTCAAGGATTCAATTTCTTTTCCAAATAGTTTACCAACAGAACATGCAAAGGTACACGACGTTGTGTTATGAATACGATTCGTTCGAACGTGGGCACGAAGGCGTCACGTGACCTCCAGGTGGTATAAAGCTTTCGGTCAACCACGACAAAATAACAAAATACAGTTGATGATAGTATTGGGAAAACAACTACGTTAAACATTCACTCATTGAATATCATCATGCCACAATAGGTGGACCTGTAAAAGCAGCACATCTTGTGTATCAAAAGTAGCAATGTTGCTGCCTTCCTATTTTCTTTGTTGACTCATCATCAAATTATGCCATTCTTGGGGAAATAAACAGAAAATAATTGTTTATTAATTGCAATTGATTGAAGTTTTTGAAGTTTATGTAGAGATGTACTGACAGACGTCGATGATGGTCTGAGGCTAGCCTTTTATTTGCCGCCATGATACATATGCACAGTTAGAGTCATTAAAATTTGCTTTTTTCGTCCACATCGTGATACGTTACGACCTTAGCAGAAAATTCGCATTGGATTGCATCGTAATCATCTTAATGTTGAACATCTAAGGATCTTATTATTACGGTCGTTTCAACAATTACCACAGTTTATTAGGTCACCGTTTAACCCCTTACCTAGTGCATTTTTTAACCGTGTCACCCCTTGTAATGTAAAACCTTCCTAGTGACACGTTTGCGATATCCTTCAATTGCGATATCCTTAAATTGCGCGAAGTTGTGCCTATGTAACAGATATATAAGTTTGAGTATATTCGTGTAAAATTCTGCCCTGTTTATCAAATAATACTTCGTTCAAAAAGATAAGTTACCAGGTTAGATATTAAAAGCATTATATCACACTGTCCTGTGCTGGCTTAAGAAAATAGAAATTGATAAGAATGCTGTTAACATTACGTGAGATCTGTTTGCCTTATATTTTATTAACGACGTAATTTTTTAAGTAAAGCATGAAGGGTTACGATGATCAACAATAACTTATTATATAACCCTCATTTTCGAAAAAATAATTAAAGCGCATGTGCAAAATCAATAGCTTCGACTTTGCACACGTCACATACTAAATTGTACAAACTACATTTGGAAGGCGTCTACAAACAAGGTAAGTTTTATCTTTATATTTCCGAACGGTAAACAATTTAATTGTACACAAAAATAAAATGTAAAATATCATTTCCCTTCTTAAGGTGATTCCGCTTTGTCAGCCATGTTTGTTTTCATTATGTGGATCCAAAGTAAAAGTAAGCCAAAATTCATATAACAACAGAGCGATGAGCCACTCGAAAGTACACATTCAGGTCTATGTTTTAAGGACTTTTATAAACAAAATTAAAAATGATAACGATAAGAATATTTTCCTTGAATGTACTTAATTTCTGAAGATCAAATACAATCTGTTGCAAAGTTTTATGCACATTTCATGGCAAAATCAAGTTTAAAGTCAGACAAATGCTTTTTATGCAGCAAATACAAAACAAAACTTGCAATAACTTATATTTAAGGAAAGAAGTTTATCCGCCTTTAAAAAACATGGCCTGCATGTCATGTGTAATAAAATAGCATCAGAGAAATAAACATCTTTTCTATTTCATGTGTACATGACAGACAGACACACTTTACTGTTTAATTGTAAATTTTAAAATTTGAATGTGTTTTCATTTTACATTGTAGTTCATAAGGCTATGAATTGTGATTGTCTTCTTGCACTACTTTTTACAAACAATAATGGAGACCATGTGCTTAGAAGGACATGAGATACCCCTTTTTTTGGAATTAAGTTTTCCAATTTTTGTATTTGCTGCTACAAATAGCATTTGTCTGCACTAAAACTGTCTTTAAACTTGGTTGAAACTTTGCAACAGATTGTTCTTGGTCGAATTTTTCACAAATACAATCTTGTTTTTGTCCTTAAAACAGTCCTTAAAGCATAGATCCGGGAGTGTCATTGCAAATGGTTTATCATTTTACATTGTTAGCTTTGTTGTTAAATGAATTTTGGCATAAATCACTTTGGACCTACTCAGTAAAAACAAACATGGCTGACAAAGCTGAATCACCATAAGTTACAAAATTTGCAACTTATTTTTAAAATGTACTTTATAGTTTCAAAATAAGCAATTATTCCCTCGATTGGCACTATAATTATTGTAAAATTATCATTTTGAAGTCGGTCTATATTATCTTGGTCGTATACTTAAGGTCATTTCCTGTTCACACTTGCTCTTAACCCTTCTTGGTTCGAATCCCACCAGGTAATATTACATAAACACAACTACTCCTCATCCCCCCAACAAGGGGAAGGGTTGGAAATTTAGTTTTGGAGTTTTTGTAAGAATAAAAACCGGGTTTTTATTCTTTTTTGTTGCATTATTAACTACAAATTGACCATTTTAAATATAATGCCCTAAACTTATTCATCTTTCGAGGCTTTGTTAAAACTAAATCAGAAAAAATGTTTCGCATAAGCATTAATATGATGTATATTAATAGATAAATATTTTTCTCAATATTTGCATTAAAGCAAGATTGAGTTTTATTAATTTTGGAAAATAAGTGTCCTTATGTCTATTTTAAGTCAAATTCACTTTTTCATTCTATAAATTTGATAGGCAAATATGAGATTGGTGAAAGGAACAAGGATATCAAATGTCAAGCAGATGTCTCCTTATAGGGTAAGAACATGCACATATTTTTATTAAAGTGCTCTTCAAACTTTGCAAATCGTTTTACGACATCGTTTGTTTTTATAAGTGTCAATATACTTCTTATCTATTTGATAATTTCTCTAGAAATAAAAGCCATGAATTACATTCTCAAACACCAAAGACAATGAAAAGAAAATTCAGCTAAAAATCTGCGATTTCCTCATCTACGAGACAAATAATGTTCACATTAGTGATATCACGGGAAACAAAACTACGCAGCTTTTAAACGGTGACATAATAACGGTCTAAAACATTTACCCGATCGTATTAATAAAATACTAAAATTTTCAACGTTATTTTTTCTTTATGACAAGGTACAGTGAAAGTTGAGAAAACCGGACGGCTTTCGGACTGAGGATATTGTCCGGTTTTCTCAGCGGTCCGGTATTCTCAATGTCCCCTTCAGCTGTTCAGGATCTTATATTATAACCGAGCAATGACCTACTAAGGATGCTGTATATTTGCATTTCAAGATCATGTGAACGTATATTGCTAAATAAAGAGATGATAAGAATACAAAAAAATATGTTTTAATTGTTTTAGTCCCATTATTGCATATAAAGACATAAAATTGTACATATATATGAACAGCAGTAACCTCATAACGATCAAGTCCTAGTACATCCGCATATGTTTACATTTGGGTAATGGGTAATGATTTAACGAATATAGTTTACTTTGTTTGTTAATAATAATAACATATTGGTCAGATTTTTAAAGTAGGTTTCGGCAAAGCTTCGCTGTCTTTAATTAATTTAACTTTGTCACTTGTAGACAGCTCTCGTCGAATTATTGTCGGCCATGGAATAAAACTAAGCGCCGATAAATTTCGTTTCCGGTGCGAAACACAATAGAAAAATACTCTATATTTTATTCATACTGATTTACAATTTATTTACAGTTTTTGTGCTAGGGCCGTATATTACCCGTATCAGATCGAACAATTAATTCTTTAGTACAATTTCAAATCAAAGTGTTAAATATTATTAGAAAAAACAAAGGTAATATTCAGAATCTATTTTAAACTCTCTTTTCCCATCTTTGACAAAATATATCTTACTGCATTTTTTTAAACTCAGTTTAGCTTAAACCGATATAGCCTGTTTTAACAGATTGATCAATGTGACACCCTAGGTTTATTCATGAAAGGTTTAGGTAAATGGATAATAGGGGTTGAATAGATCTTGTTAAGATTTGTTATTTGATGCATTCACAATAAACTGCAAATAGGCACATGAGTCATAAAAGAGGGATGATCATTAAATTTTCCAAATTTAACCAATGATTCAACAATATTATTTGAATTTTATATAGGAAACATTACATTATTGCGTTATATATCATCTTAAAATAAATTACAAACCTTCTCAATTGTTTGTGACAGGTCTATTTTTTTCTGATACACCTGTTCAAAGAAAGAAATCTGTTATAAGGTATATCTTTTGCACGTGCACAGGTCTGTTTTGTCAGATATATCCGGTCATGATTATCACGTTAAACAAGAAGTATCGTATAAAACTACTCGGCCAAGGTAAACTGCTTTTACTTGCATATGTCTTATATGATGATTGCTGTTATCTAAGCAAATTTACAGTTGACGAAGGGCTATGTTAGACTTGGAAAATGAAAAATAAAACATAAAATTAATAATGCATCAAATGTTTCTGTTTTTCTATATCTATTGTACATGTGCTTGCTACGTTTCTTCCAGCCGAATTGCATTGGTCATTTTAAAATAAAAATCTGAAATCTCAGAATCTGATTGGCCATTGTAAAATTTGTAAAATACATTAAAGGATTTTATTGACATGGTGTACGCGTCTAATAAGCCAGAATTACTTTCCTAATCAGATAGGCAGCAGTGAAAGCATATTTTTAATTAAATATTTGACCCCTCTCTCATGGGCAGTGCATATGATAAGAATAATTATGCAAAATTGATTTACAAAACATCCAGAATAATGTGCAGTAGTACTTAATCTGAATAGAACACGACCTGAGCGTAGGAATGAATTGGTAAGGTATCGTTGCTGTAATGAGCGCATTTTTACGTGGAGCTTCTCCATTGATGCATTGCAGCAAAATTTGTACTTGAAAGTGACTGTATTGCCCTGTTCCTAATGAATTTATCATACTGCACGTTTGTATCATCGTGTTTTATTGGATTATAAACATGTAAATTTATGAAAAAAATCACTATTTCCTCCCTGAAATGAAGTATGCTTTATCATAAATTCGTCATAAATATTCCTGGAAGCTCAGATTATTTACAAAACAACCGTGTATATAGGGCAATATATTCTGACAAAAATCTTTATAACTAGTAATAAAACGGCTTTCCATGTTAAAAGTTTATTTTTGTACTACATCCATTTTATTACAAATTAGCGTACAAACAAGTCCCTCAAGACAAATCTGATAAATGTGTTTCATGTCGTCGTCATATATATAATTGCCTGCTGTCTAACTACGATCATATTTTCTTTAGAATGGTAATTTACTAGACTTTATTGCCAAATATTGTTAGCAAGGAACCACCGCCTATGGTTTACAGTGTATATATAATTTTAATGTTATTGCGCTTACAAGCACGTAATTGTTTAGATATCGCTATTGTTTAGTACGGTTTTTATTTTTTTATTTTTATTTTTATTACACTTAGCTTTTATTCTTTTTTTCTTTTAAATATCATTTCCATATAACTTATACGTTAACTATTTATTCCATTCAATAACTATTTATTCAGAATATCTTTTCACATATAGATGTACAAAATAACAGTTCATACATCGACACTCCAAGATCTCTCAAATAACGTATAATCAAGCGAAACAGAACAAATCGTAGTGTATTAACACTATGTTTAATTTGTTTACTGGGTAATGTAATCATTAGAATAAATCATTATTATTCAACCAATATATTAACCACAGCATTTATACATCGTCTCAAAATAACATAAAGTTTAAATAACCAATATGTACAAATATCAGCTAGCTTAAATACATATAAATTAACCGATTACAACACAAGCAATGAAACCAAAAAAAAAAACAACACTGAATTCAGATCATTTTATCCTACTATAATTCAATTCGTTCAAATTCATAAAAAGCCACAAAATTCTCTACACTACACAGAGAGGGCATTTTCGAAAAAAGACCTGTATGGTCATAAACCATTTGTCAATTAAATGTCAAAACACCAAAGTTGAAATAAAATCACAAAGTACATTGTACCAGACTTTTTCATTATATTAACAATAAAAGTAAACAGGAAATAAAAGACGGTGATATTTTTGTTGTTTTTTTTTATATAAATACGAATTATATTTTCATTGAGTGGTATGAAATATAATAACGAGATATCGCCGATATAACTCGCTTTTTGAGAAAGACGACCAATTGCATAGTAAATTGTGTTGAGTCGTTTGTTTGCTCTACTGATGTTGAACACAAAATGCATTTCTTTTGTTATTGTCATTTTAGTTCAAATATCCCATTCGACTTTACACCCCTTTTTTAAATACGGCTTTATTTGTTTAATGTTAAACGGGTTGTTGAAATTTCATTTTAAACTAGTATCTATATATATAGTATCTGTTACATGTACAATTAGGTGGATAAACATCAACTTCCTAGTAGAGAAATAACTCGAGATGTGTCTTCTCGTGAACAAAACATACATGTCTACATTAAGTAAAATTTTAGCGATGTCATTTTGAGGTATTGCATATCGAAATGATGAGAAAAATCTTCTAAGTGGCATAACATTTTTCGATATTTAAAAAAGCATATTCTTTAAAAAGAAACGCATTTTTTTAGAAACTGCGGTTACTGTTTTCATCCTTGTTTTGGTCGTAGGCTCTTCATCGGAAGTGTGGAGGGCTCCCATTTATACAGACCAGCAACATTTGAAAAAGTCACTTTGTATTGTTGCACACGGATACAAGCGAAAATATTTAAAGAAAAAAGGGCATTAATTTGCAAAAATATACTAAACGGGTTATCTTCTTTTTTGAAACTGCGTCATAAAATATATTAAATAAGTTTAAAGTAAAGCTTATATAGTAAGAGAGAAATAGAGTCATTTGTGAGAATTTGAATAACGTGCTTCCAATGATAATGTCTACAATTAAAACAAAAGATGCGTATTTTATGTTATCCTTATCATTGTGATATTATGACATTTTTCTTCGTTTGAATATTTGATACAGGTAACTTACGTCAACAAATATATATTATGAAAACTGACATATTAACTCAGTCTGTCGATCAATTATTTATAAAAAATTGGTCCCATATACATTTTAGGATAATCTAAACTAGCCTTTATATTATTTTCTGTTATTTCTTGTATTATGAAAATCAATGTTGTTATAAGTGTTTTAAATCTTTCATTCAACATTAGTCTTATTACGTTTTGGGATATCTATATATCTTTATATTACACCTAATGCAATTGACTGCAGTTGAGATTGATATAATTTTCATGTTTCCATGTTCATGTTGTTTTTTTTTGTTTTTGTTTCTTTTTCTGTTTTTTTTTTTTATTTTTTGGGAAGAAAGAATATTAATTTATACATGTAGTATATATATTTATTAAATTTTTATAACAACTTCCAATTTTCCAGCTTTTACAAAAAAACTTAATTAATCTTGTGCTTGTTTCTGTGTTTGTTTAATTGTACTAATGTTCTAATCAGTACATGACCCGTTTTGAAGTTGTTTTAGTTGCAAAATATGTGATTTAATACTAAAACAATTTCAAAACGGGTCATAAAAGATACTTATGGTAAGTAAAATTATGTTATAATAGTTTATTATAGCTATGTATACCTATTCCTAAATAATAAGTCTTATAACATATCATATATATCATACATGTATTTGATATGTTAAATGTACTAACTTGTACAAGTATTGTATGCAAATGTTCTTAAAGTTTTTAAATAAATAAAAAAAAAT